TGTTCAAGAAATCTTACGAAACCATTGAAAACATCACTTATTATTATACGAACTGATAGTCTGATAGTTGGTTATAATCAATGATAAAATCAAACAAAACCCTAACTATTCCTCTATAATTTGGTTAAGGAATCAATTAAAAATAATACAGGGTGTTCAAATAAACGACAATCAAAATGGCATCGTTAATAAAAGGCTACCCTGTACATACTGTCCTAAAAATGGCTAGCTAGCCAATTTCATTACTCGTATATGATAATTTTAAAATTAGCCAAAATGTTGACTCATAAACTTTGTGACATTAGAAAATGAGCGAGAGATTTACAATTGATATATTATTTTATTTTGATATAAGTTACTATATTTCAATACTGAGTAATATACAAAACCTTATAATTACACGAAAAAATACATTTAATCAAAATGTTATAGTTTTCTTAAAAACTTAAAAATTCATAACTGTTTTCACTCATGTTTTAATAGTAATAGGTGATTATAAAAACATTACAAATTGTAATGATATTTGTGACTATAAAATACTTTATTTACTGATAATCTATTGTAAAACTATGATTTATGTAACAAACATAACCAATGAATTTATGTCAACATATAAATCACTACTAATTGATCGCCGATTGGGGAGAATTGTGTTGAGGTATAGGAGCCGTAATTGTCTGTCGTATATATTGTAGACTCGAGTGAAAAGTATAGATTAGCATTGGTTCACAAATATACCGAAACTAATGTCATGTTTAGTACGAAATCGTTGCGACAGTTAAATAGACATTCATTTCAATGTAGAGAAAGTGTGCGAACACGGGATGACTACTTGTTTTATATCAATCGTTTTAATCGGCCAACAAATTACCGAGGTTGTATAGTTCGTGAGCTAAATAATACACTCAATTGTCTGCCGTTTATTGGTGTAGACTATTACATAAAAATTGAAAGCATGTGCAATATTCTGGATATAAATTCTGTGCTAATTATACGGATTCTGTGAATCAAAACACATGAATAACGAGTTAGTGGGCGTACACTGGGACGGACTTAGAGGCTATGGGCACAACAGTACCGTTCCCTTCGCGATGGTTAGAGGTTTGTGTGATTTTATCATTGATTATAACCAACTATCAGACTATCAGTTCGTATAATAATAAGTGATGTTTTCAATGGTTTCGTAAGATTTCTTGAACAGAGGTATAGCTTCGGAAATACGAGACGAGAGTGTGATTAAAGCGAGACATGAACTGACGGGTCGACCATCTCTGGGTCTATGTGTCCGACCGGTCGGGCATTCATTAAAAGCGACGGCAAGCGCCGATTGGAAGATAGGGTCCGTTAGGGGTGGACTCATTATCTGTGATCAGGTGATGGGGAAAGGGATGCGAGTCAGGTAAACGGGTATATAATTTACAAACATATGGTATTACATTATTGTCTAAATAACTATGTGATACTTGTCTGTCATTTATGACTATTATTTGTTAAGTATTACTAAACTAATGATACATTTCCCGGTGCAGTCGTGTTCCCCTCAGTAAGCGCTTTGTTATGACAAAAGTGAACAGATTTGAAGTGAATTCGGACGCAGAGTTTAGACAATCGATGGCCGGACGGCAAACTGTGGAGCTAACTGTCCGTCAAATTAGTCCTCGATTTAAAGAACTGGGTGAACAGGTTATTAATGTCAATCAGCACTTCCCCCATAAACTGTGCTCTTATATGAATTTTTTGGGGCTTATAATCAATAAACTATTCATAAATATAACATAAATTGAACACAAATTATGTAATTAACATGATACACCTGCCGTATTATGAAATATACTAAATTCCTGTCATTCACATTATTATTTAATATTATGTTTGAAGTCACAGATTAGATGTACTTTTGTGTACATTTAATTTGGGACAAAGTCTGCGAATGGAAAATACCAATCATTTTGAACACATATTATCAATAGGAATGTTAGATAACAGTAATGATTGGAAAGGGATTTCTGTACTGTAAAAGTGAAAACAAAAATCCTATTTTTAATGCTCAGTGTTGTGTCTGTGAACTAAAACATGTGTCAAATTGTCACCAAATGGTTGTTTAGAAATCAATTTCACTAATTTACAAATGGATACCAAATAAATTATCAAAGTGACTTATAAACTTAAATATTTTATCTCGAGTACTTGCTTATCGTATACTACAAACACTTTAACTGTGTTACTTATAATGTAGGTCTCAATATACCAGTAAATACCGGGTATTTGCTATAAAAGAGTTGTTTAATGAATTAAATACTGAAAACACAATAGATATTGTGTTTCTCAACATTTATTCAGTTGTGCTAACAGTCTGTCGCGAAAATANTAAACCCAAAGTTAGTGCCACCGAAAAACATGTAGAAATTGATGGATGAGTTGGCTTTGAACAGTACGTCCGTCACCTCCTTTTCCAATGTCTTGATATCATAGGTGTGGTGTTTTTCACCCCACTGGTCAAACCACCCTGGCCAGAACTCGGTCACATACAGGGGCTTATTAGGCTGTGCTGTACGTAGTTTAGTCAATAGATTCAGGGAATCATATTGAAAGTTATCAGTCTCTAAAACACCTGAATATAAAACGAGTTATAAATAAGAAATTAAATGAGAATTTTGTTAGTATTTTGTTAATAAATGGCACACTTTTATCCTAGTATATTTAGTGATACAAAGTAATGATAAATATTAGCAATAAACAGACAGTCAATGGAAACAATGCTAAAAACCTAGTATCTGAAAAATAAAATCTAAACCCAAACCAAACCCATAAATAATTAAATGTTTTTAAAAATGAGATTTTTGTTAGTATTTTGTAAATAGCATAATAAATAACACACTATTTTTAGTGATACTGATACTGATTTTAGTGGTAAAGGTATATGAAAATCAAGTTAAAAATAACTAGTATTTTGAATAATAAAATCAAAACATCAAAAATAACTCAAACATCAACACTGGTTGCACCCATACCTTGGAGGACATTCTTGGCGGCGTCGGCTGCCGTATCAAACGGATCGCAATTAGTGAGCAATTCTTTGAATCCGTGGGAATCGATGACATTCTTCATGAACTCGAAGTACTCCTTATCATCATTACTATGAATGCCTCCGAACTCGTTCTCGAATTGCATGGCTATTATGGGACCGCCTTTCGTGAACTGGTAGTCGTTAATAATGTCGAGTACTTTGTTATAGTACTTCTCCGTCGCATCCAAGTGTGGCTTATAGTTAGACCGGAGCTTCATGTTGGGATCCCTGAGCAGCCACGAGGGGTAACCCCCTAAGTCCCACTCACCGCACATGTAAGGCCCGATCCGGTACATGACAAACATGTCGGCGGCTTTGACAGCCTCGAGGAAGTCCTTCAGATTCAGGTAACCCGTCTCGAAGTCCCAGTTATCGGGGGTCTCCTCGTGTAGATTCCATGGCGAGTATGTTTGCACCTAAGATGAGCGCAGGTATGTTATAAGGTATGTGCTATGGCTATGGGGTATATTTACGGTGTTAAGTCCGGCGGCCCTGAACTTCAATAGCCTGTCCTTCCAGTAGTCTTTGGGTAATCGGAAGTAATGCAAAGAACCGCTAAATAAAGTGATTTTCTTTCCGTTGAGAGTGAAGTCTACGGAGTCGGCCCTCAGACCCGATTCGATACCACCGGACGTGTAGTACTCGTAGTTTGTCTGTTTGGCACCATTACTTTGGGCACAAAATACGGCAAACATTAAACATAATGTTAAACAGATTCTCATATTGTTTTAGGTTTCTAATTGTATTTTCGCGTCAGATTGTTAGCACAACTGAATAAATGTTGAGAAACACAATATCTATTGTGTTTTCAGTATTTAATTCATTAAACAACTCTTTTATAGCAAATACCCGGTATTTACTGGTATATTGAGACCTACATTATAAATAACACATTTAAAGTGTTTGTAGTATACGATAACCAAGTACTCGAAATAAAATACTTAAGTTTATAAGTGACTTTGATAATTTATTTGGTATCCACTTGTAAATCAGTGAAATTGATTTCTAAACAACCATTTGGTGACAATTTAAAACATGTTTTAGTTCATAGACACAACACTGAGCATTAAAAATAGGATTTTTGTTTTTCACTTTTACAGTATAGAAATCCCTTTCCAATCATTACTGTTATCTAACATTCCTATTGATAATATGTGTTCATATTATCAATAATTATTGGTATTTTCCATTCGCAGACTTTGTCCCAAATTAAATGTACACAAAAGTACATCTAATCTGTGACTTCAAACATAATATTAACTAATAATGTGAATGACAGGAATTTAGTATATTTCATAATACGGCAGGTGTTTCATGTTAATTACATAATTTGTGTTCAATTTATGTTATATTTATGAATAGTTTATTGATTATAAGCCCCAAAAATTCATATAAGAGCACAGTTTATGGGGGAAGTGCTGATTGACATATTAATAACCTGTTCACTCAGTTCTTTAAATCGAGGACTAATTTGACGGACAGTTAGCTCCACAGTTTGCCGTCCGGCCATCGATTGTCTAAACTCTGCGTCTGAATTGACTTGAAATCCGTTCACTTTTGTGATAACAAAGCGCTTACTGAGGGGAACAC